TGGGCAGCTCGCAGCTTGTTCAAACTTTGCTTGAGGCTGGTGCCTCGGTGATGCCCGTGAAAGGAGCGCTACCACCCCTCTTCCTTGCTGTCCTCCATCGGCACAGGACAAATGTACAGCTGCTCCTAGATGCACAAGCGGACCCGTGGCAGGAGATTGCGATTGCCTCCGTGCTTTGCCATTCACTGCAATGGTACGGTCACCCTGCCCGTAAAGAAGTCTTCAACGCTGTACAAGCTGCTGCTGCGCAGAGTGCTGAAGACACGGTCATTGACCTGCTACAGCAATTCTGTAGCGCAACAGACGTGGTGAGACGTGAGCAATCTTCTCTGGCGCGAGTGAAACCCACAGCTTTGACAGATAGGGCCACCACTATCATGAATCAAACTGTGTGGAAATACCAACATATCGTTGAAAAACAGTCTCGACAGATAAACTTCGCTACGTTTCGATGGCGCAGAATACTAGAAGGACTGTATTTACCAGTACGAATACGAAATGAGCTGCAATCACCCCCGGAGCTCAACCGGAAAGAAACATTCCTGCACCAAGTTGACTAATTGTGTGCTCCAGATGAACACTTTCCCAGTGAGAGGCTGGCACCAGGTAAAGAAGATTTTTTCTTTCTAACCGGGGTTGGGTTTTGTAACCGGGGTTGGGTTGGTCCATGGTGGTCCATGGTGCTGCCAAAGGCATGTGGTCAACAGCGCCAGAGATCTCCAGAGATAGAGTTTCATGCCCAATCTTCTGGGAAGCTATCAATGTGGAACTTCACTTAGCCCATTGAGATCAGAGAATGATGCCGAACCAGAAATTTTCAGAGATAGAGGTTTAGTCATGACTTGGAAGTATGTGGTTATCAATGTGCGACTTAACTTCAACATTGAGATCAGAGAGTGATGCCGAAGACCAAAACTTGACTAGGAAAGGGCATGTTTATTGGTCAAAACATATCACCCTTTATATATTTATTAGTTAAGGTTTCATAGGCCCTGACAACTCATCCCCACACACGGATGGGGTCGATTTTTTTTTGTTGTTTTTGGTCACCCAGTGCCAGTCGAACTGTCATTTTTTCATTTTATGACTGTGTTGCAATGATTGTGATGTTTTTCATGCCTCTGGTTGTGAGGGAGCCTGCAGCTGGGCGATGTTCTTCAAACTGCATGTTTCAGCACTCAGTTTTGGACCTTTTTTCTTAGGCATGGAGGCTCCTGACTGCTCGAAAACAGGTTGAACAGTGAGTTGTCAAGATGGTTCGGAACCCAGCCTTCACCAGCCAGAAGCCACACCAACCTTCTGGCAGCTGATTTTGAGGCAGAAGTCAGTGTGTAACCTACAGAGCCATTGACATGTCACCAACTTCAGCCAAAATTTCTTGTGCTTGAGAAGATCCCTTCTTCCAGCTATGTCGCCGCCAATCTACGTGCGAATTGATTGATTGTGTTTGAGTCTCAGCGTACTGAGACTGTGCTGTCACTGGGGCATCTAAGAGTCATTGGGAAATGGCTCAAGTTGCTTTGATTTTTTTGTTGGAATTCAGTTTTTTATTAGTTTGATTGTGCCCACTGGTTCTGCCTTGCCCAAGGCCAGGTTGAGAGATGCTTTCATTGCAGATGGCAGACTGCCCAGTGGAAAGCATTGCGTTGGCAGCTCAGTACTAGAAGTCGTCGCAGAATTGATGTTGAACACACAATAATTATCTTTCGAATGGATCCTTGATGGGTGATCGAGGGCTGTAAACACTTATTATATTAATCAGGAATTATCATTGTTGATATGCGCAGAACCAGGACCATGATCTCAATGGAGCATGCTTGAGACCACGACAAACGTAAATCGGGTCAAACCTTTGCAGTGTCGTCCAGGGTTACTATCTTGCTGGTTTGTATGACTGTTCACTGGGATGTTGAATATTTTTTGATACTGATTGCAGATAGTAAATGGGTTGTTTGCCCTTGAGCAGTAACTTGTTCGAATCAGGTTGGATGCCTTCAATGCAGAGCTGTCAGCGTGTGCATCAGGAACTGCGGCGTCCATGGCTGAGTTGATGCATTCAATCAAGTTGCCCCCTGAGGATGATAGTTGCATAGTTATGGATTGTAAACATTGTTTCGTTGGCGCAAGGACCACAGATGAACTTTCAATGATTACATGCATTGCCCACTACAGACGCCCGCTAATTGTACTGAAGTAGCCCTGTGAGGTTGATCTTGGACATTGGTCTGTAATAACTCAATGCGTGGATGTCGTTTGCCATGCTCAACTTGCTTCCTGCTTGTGATTATGTGGTTTTAACTAGAATGTTTTTTGCAGTGAATCATGTCAGGTCCAGGGACCTGTTGGGTGGAGGCCGCCCACTACCTTATTGTGATGGGCCGCTGGCCCAGTTGGCTGTCAGTTGCCTCTTGTCATGTGCCCCTTGATTCAAATTTTGGGAGCAATGAAGGTCAGATGCAGCAGAATCAAAGTCTGCAGATGAAAGAGACCAAGCTATTAAGTCTTCGGCCCAGCTTCCGCAGGCGTTTCACATTCAGTTCGTCATGTGTATTCTCATTTTTGATTATCAACACACTTCAACTACAACAAAAGTTACCCACACTACTACTCTTCATACGACTTTCAGGGTGGTCGTTTGTCTCACAAGTTGAAACTTCAGATTTTGTGGACCAATGATTGAGTTCAATGATGTGTCAGGTCAACCGATAGTCTGGCCAAAAAGAGGCGCACAAATCATCATCTCTCCATGAACCACAGATCAAGAACCAGGTAGAAAGTGCCACCTGTCTGTTCAATCTGTGTGCTTGTGAGAGTGCTGCCAGGAGGTCATTGTCAACTTTGAGCGATGAGCCGAATACTTAACAGTGTGCTTCGGAAACATGATTTTAGATGCTTCCAACTCACGCCAGGCATGGCCACGTATCAGGTTGATTACTTTCATGAGGCCCATCAGCAGCGATGCTGCTGCATTGAAGGATGCGCCCAATGCCAAGAGAACGTTGTCTACACTTAGTGATGAGTCTGGGGCTCATCACACATTGACCAGAAAGTCCTTGCCGCAAACTGCGTGTGAGATCCATTGTGGATATTGATGTTTGCTTGATAGCAACAATAATAATGTGCTGTGAGAGGCCAGTGCAGAGACAGCTTTCCTGGCTGAGTGGTGTGCCAGGTGCTGAGCGCCACTGGATTCAGTAACTTTAACCAGTCATTGTTTTCAAGAGATCTTTTTTTGGCCATTGCGTCTGCCCAGTGTTTAAGTAAACCAGTAAATTGATTGGACGAAGGTTTTATTCAGTGATAGTATTTGAACTTCCTCCAAGTTGAAGAGCGCTAGGGAGAGATACAAGGTGGATTAAATTGATTTGGTACCTAGTCTAATGGGTGGACATGAGATAGCTTAGATAGATCATGATGGATCAAGGAATAGATAGAAACATGTTTGTTGATGCAAGGCTGTTGTCGTGTAGAACCTGTGATTCCTTGAGGCCAGAGCTCCAAGAGATAGCTGAGGCAAAGGGGCACAGTGATTGCGCAACACAATTCGAAATCAAAGTGTTTCAAAGATCAGGTTGAACATTTTTACCTTATTGTTGCCTTAATCTTGTTCATTGCCGTGTTTGTCTCTGAGACTGCCGTTGTATGCTGCTGAGGTGGCTGAAAGCTTTCCAGACACCTTGCGATGGCCAAGATTTGGATTTCGCGCTCCATGGTTTTTTCGGAACCAAATTCTTCCTTACATGCCAGTTTGGGGCTTCAGGGAGCCTAGAGCTGATCCGTTGAACATGAAGATAGCAACTTGATTCAACATGGTGCAGTGCAGAATCAGCCGCCCAATATTAGTTTTATGTGTGCTGTCACTGTGATTGTGAAACAAATCTGTTGAATCCTGAAGTGCGAAGTGCTCAGGTGCCACCAGCGCAGACCTCAAAGTCAAAGCAGAAGCTGACAGATGTCAAAACCCCACTGCAGCATCAGCCCATCGTCCGCCATTCTTTTGGAACTGTGAGTCAGGGACTCACAAGAATGAACGATGTGCTGTTCAACTTGTGTCACAGTGAGCCATTCACGTAGTTCAGAAGTCTTGTCCAGTGGTTGCTTCAGGGTGTTTCACTGCCACAACCAAAGCCAACCCTCGATACCTGAGCGTTCGGGCGACCCAGGCCAGATTCAGCTGTGTTTTTAATTTTCAGAAAAATATAATGCTGCCAAATCCATGTGGTTCGGTCTTTCCAAATATTATCTTGAACTGCGAAGACACACTTGAATTGCAGGATGTTGCCACCCAAATTCGGTGGTGGGACTTTTACAAGTGTCAATGCCGAAAAGATGGCGTGAAGATGGGTCTCTACTTGAATCCGCACTTTGCAGAATGGATTTCAGGCAGCTGCTTAGCAGGTTGGAATCAGACATCATGGTGAAAACATGGAAATGGTTAACGCTGCGAGGCTTTCCGCCCAATTGGACAGTCCCAGAACCAGGGTGCATGTTGCGCGACTGCTGGCCACAATGGTTCGGTAGCACAGAGGTCGGATTGTCAGTTTTGAAGCATTGCAAATCTCTTGCTGCCAACATAAGAATTTCAAGGTTTGCCATGTGCACAGCGTGAGGCATCTCGCAGAAAACTACCAATCCTAAGTCTTTTTGCTGGTGTTGGCGGACTGGACATTGGAGTACAGGAGCTGGGCGCTCAATGATCACATTCTCGAGACCCAATAATCATGGTCCATGAGTTTAGCCAAGGATTTGGCAGACAATTGCTTACGCAGCTAGCTTAGCTCATGTTTCGCAATCAGTTTACTGCCGTTTTTCATGCACTTGGGCCAACGCTTAATTAATGATTCCTCCTTCTCACTAAATTAAAGTGCTTGAGGTAGAAAACAATAGTTATTGTCAAGAAGTGCTGAAAGCCAGGCGCATTGAGTTGTTGACCCCATTCATGATGCAGCAGTTGACAAATTTATAACGATCATCCATTGACACTGCTTCGGTGTGCCAGGATGCAGGACGGCTGCTTGCACAAAGGAGATATCATTTCAGATGTGCAAGATTATGAGCCAGCTGGAAGCCACCTTTCAGCTGAAGGGCTGATAGGGGGATTCCCCTGCCAAGTTGGAAACCCAGCTGTACTCTGGATGTTACTGCAAGGCTTTGTTACTGTAGAACCTTACAGCCAAGTCTTGCCCAGGGAGTGTGCAGGGCAGGAAAGATGCTCGGTCTCGATGACAGTCGCACTGGCCTGGTGCGGGAAATATACCGACTCATTGACTCGCTCCCGTCTCTGTCCCTCAGTCTTTGTTGATGACAGTTTGGGAATTCACAGGTTTCATCAAGTTCAAGTTGTGCTGCAGTTTTCCTCAGCGCTGAATGGCACTGAAGGTTTTTTTGTTTTCTGGAGAATGTGGCCCATCTACTGAGCCCGAAAAACCGGGAGTTGCTGCATTACGTGTGCAAGGCCAGGGTTTCAAGACTTGCTTTGTCAATACATATTAATTGCTTTTTTAAGCGTGTTTGTTTGCTACAGGAGTTTGGGGCCAGAGGATTTTCCTTGAGATGGTGCACGGTCACTGGAACCAACGTTGGTGCCCAGGCGGTGACCCCAGATTAGAGACAAAGTTCATGAACTGAAGTTAAACAAAATTTTCCTGTGCCGTCTCGCTGCAGATTTTTTGTTGTTGATGTTGACCTTGATGATGTTGGCAATTGTGATGATTATGATGATGTTGATGATGACGATGATGACGTAAGACGAACAACGAAAGTGAAGACCGCGAGTGAGAGGATTCAAAGACAATAGCAAGAAAACATCAAAGAGTATCAATGGTGATGACAGGAGTCATCCTCATTATCATTTTTATCATCATCATCATCATCAGCATCATCGTCACCATCACCATCACCATCATCATCATCATCATCATCATTATCATCATCATCACTATCATCATCATCATCATCATCACCATGATCATGATCATCATCATCATCATCACCGTCATCATGATCATGACCATCATCATCATCATCATCATCATCATCATCAGCAGCATTTGCTTCTTCATCACCAGCAGCATCATCATCAGTGGGAAGGAAATTAAATATCAAAAGCGTTTTTTGTCCCACAATTTTTGTTCCATGACGAACTCATCCATCAAGGTCAACCGAGAGAGGATTTTCCTCTTGGCTACGCGTGGTCAGCAAGGCCCGCTTGAAGTTTGGCCCTTGGACTTACGTTTGACGTTCCATGCCTGGCGTGTCCTGGTCCCAACTGCTTGACATTTAAGTCAATTTGTTTTCTTGCCACTCTGCAGGGCCTTCAATTGCAGAGCTCCAGCGACATGCATCAATCTGCGCATGCTGCGTGGAACCGATGCTGCAAGCCTCCTGTTTCAGCATGGCTGTTGGCAAAGCAATCAGCTTTAGACAAGGAAAGGTTGAAGGCATGCGGCAATGTGGTAATTCCTCAGTGTGCACGGCTGGCGCTGCACATCATGGGAAACCATTTGTGTGGCCGGCATGTCATTTGTCAGTTTGAATGGCTGCAGCTTGTCACCAACAGTATCTCTGTGAGTTTGTATGAGGTCCATAGGCTTTTCAGTTAATTAATATTTGACTCTTCCTTGTTTTGTTTTCTCGCTCTCCCTCACTCTTTCTCCCCTTGCTTGTCCCTCCTCCTTGCTCCCTGCCTTTATGTTGGAGAAACCCTCTGCTGTTTAAAGTTTTATTTATCTCCTATTTCTCTTCCTGTCCCTCCATTCTGTGTGTTGCAGTTGGTGATGTCGCTGGATGTTGCTGGATGTCGCTGGATGTTGCTGTCGCTGTTGCTGTCGCTGTCTCGCTGTGGTTGTCGTTGTCGTTTTCGTTCTCGTTGTTGTTGTTGTTGTTGTTGTTGTTGATGTTGTTGTTGTTGTTGTTGTTGATGCTGTTGTTGTTGTTGTTGTTGTGCTATTGCTGCTGTTGTTGTTGCTGTTCGTCGTTGTATGTTTTTTGTTGATGTGCCTTTTGCACTAGTAGCAGTGTTAAACAAAATTTCCATTGAATGGTGTTCCAAACCTTGCTTAAAACAATATTTTCCTGACTCTGGAATTTTTCAAAAAAAACCCAGGGTCAGAAAAAGGGTTTGGATAGTAGTAGTCGTAGTAGTAGTAGTAGCAGTAGTAGTAGTAGTAGCAGGAGTAGTAGTAGTAGTAGTAGTAGTAGTAGTAGTAGTACTAGTACTAGTACTAGTACTAGTAGTAGTAATAATAAAAATAATAATGGCAGTAGTAGTAGTAGTAGTAGCAGTAGTAGTAGTAATAATAAAAATAATAAGAGGTTTTTCACCCAACGTGGTGATAACTCTTTATTTCCTAAATCTAAAAACTGCGTGTGCCTGAATGCAGGCTAAACCGCAAATGGGGACCACACAAAGTTGCTTTTCTATGTTGGCAATTCAACGGTGCCGAAAAAAGCATGCGCTCACTTCCCAGGGAAAGTGAGCGCATCCATGTGTGATGCATCAACATAGATAAGTTTTATGTGATGCTGTATGTTAAACAACCTGTTTGCAACGCCAACGGTCTGTCAACCTTTGTTGCACTCCTTTTTTCATGTTGGCATTTCTCTGCATGTTGTACACAGCTGAAATGATGTCTTTTATATTCCCACAATTTTATGTTCAAGTGGTGGGTGGGTGGGTTTCGCGTTTTTTACGACGCCATGTTTGAAATTAGTGGCGTTGCTTTTACGTAACTTTGGTGGCCCTTTTTATGTGAAAGGAAATAATGGCAGTAGTAGTAGTAGTAGTAGCAGTAGTAGCAGTAGTAGTAGTAGTAGTAGTAGTAGTTGTAGTTGGTAGAAGTAGTAGTAGTAGAAGTAGTAGTAGAAGTAGTAGTAGTAGTAGTAGTCGTAGTCGTAGTCGTAGTTGTAGTCGTAGTAGTAGTAGTAGTAGTAGTAGCAGTAGTAGCAGTAGTAGTAGTAGTAGGTAAAAGTAGTAGTAGTAGTAGTAAACAAGATGCGCGCGCGGACCCAGGACCCCATTCACCTTGAGGACCCCTTTCAAGGGAAATCTTGTTAGTAGTAGAAGTAGTAGTAGTAGTAGCAGTAGTAGTAGTAGTAGAAGTAGTAGAAGAAGTCGTAGTAGTAGCAGTTGTTGTAGTTGTAGTTGTAGTAGTAGTAGTAGTAGTTGCAGTAGTAGTAGTAGTAGTAGTTGTTGTTGTTTTTGTTGATATTGTTTTTGTTGTTGTTGTTGTTGTTGGTGGTGGTGGTCTTTGATAATATTTTCTAGCCCTATGTTTTTCGAGCCGTTTCTTCCAAAGCTTTTCTGATAGAAGAGGCAAAAACCATAGCCTTTCGCTACATGCTGATTCTGAAGCGATATGTGTGTGTACTGCCTGTCAATCTGATTTTGTCCACTCAATTTGTTTCGGGCTCAGCTCAGTCTCTGCTAATGATCTGGATTTTGGTTCCCATGGCACATTGCCTGTTCCTGCTGCTCATGCAGCAGTTCAAGATCCAGAGTATTTTTTTGCATGGATTCGCAACCAACAGTGTCTGAACTATCGGATGATGGAGAGCATGTGGACGAGCTTTCAGATGAAGCCACGGTGCAGCAGAACCCTCGAATCCGAAAGGCTCGCTCTGAGGAAGAGGTCCTCAGCCCTGCCCAGTGGAGACAAAAGATGTCTCGCGTCATGGGATCGATTTGTGGTTGCGCCCGCCAAAGGGTAGGTGTTGCTCGTCAGACAAGCTGTTTCAAACAATTTTCTGGAGAGGTCGAGCAGTTAGTGGAACTGCAAGTGAGGCTTCATCGTCTTCACAAGCAGGACATGGACGATGAGGCCAGAGTGACCAACTAACCCAGCTGTTTCTGCTTGGATAATCATTTCTTTTCAAATTAAGGAGTGATAGTAATTTTCTGTTTGGTTTGGGATTTTTTGGGGCGACTTTTTTCTCTGTTTTGGGACCCTTTTTGGGCGGAAAAAAGTCGCCCTTTTTAACCCCTTTTCGCAGTGCAGGAAAATTACTAAGGAGTGAGAAGTTTCCAAATTTAGTGTGCAGGACAGCAGTTGTAGATTTCAAGATGCAATTCAAATTTTCAATGTTGAGCCTACTGAAGCAACTCTACAAATAAAATAGCCCAGCAGTCGTCAATGAGACGTTACTATTAATAACTGCAGAGTGTGCGTGTGGCCCCAGGTGATCAATTTATTGAAAGTTCCTGCACTTTGTCCCCGTCGGAAGCAAGTGCTGTTGGGGCGACCTATTTGCCAAAGAGGTTTTCGGAAAATTCTGTGTTTGGGCTCTGGCAGGTATTCACGGTTGAAGCAAGCAGCCAGTAAAGATGAACGTGCCCCCTTGGATGGACGGTCAGTCCCTAAGAAGAATGTTTTTCGAGGCAAGAGAGGCAACGAAGCCTTACAAAAGCGGGCGCTGATAGCAGAATATTTGGAAGAATTGTATGAAACTATCAGTGAGCCAATGCCAGATGCCAACCAGTCTCTGAAATGCAAAGACCAGATCGAAACTGAAGCTGGAGACCTTGTGACACAAGGCCCAAAACGTTTCAGAAGACACAAAGGCCGACGACCTCGGGTGGCAGTTCTCCAGAATCGTGGGTGTGACAAGAGCAAGATGAAGCTATTGCCACCTGGTACGTATTCTGACTACTTGGGCCTTTTGCGCGCGAGACACCCTGACATGAAAATCAGCCTCAAACTTTTCTCCAAAGCTACTTGGCTCTGGATTCCTTACTTTGGCACAACCTGAAGGTTTCTTTGTGTGGCAAGGGAGCAGTTCCTTCATTTGGGTTCTTGCTTAATATTTAGAGTGGAAAACGGAAGCATCTTTTGTTAGGTTTGGGCACAAAACTTTGGTGGCAAGTTGGCCCTACGGGAAGAGTCGCAGCATGCCCAGTGTGGCATTTGCACACGTCACAAGCTGTTGATCAAACGCCTTTCTGGAGACAGAATTCAACGTGATGCTCAGATGGCTGAATACGCAACACACTTGCGTCGACAGTACGCTGACCGTACTGAGTATTGGAAGGCTCGGACACGGTCAAGGCTTCCGCTCCTTCCTGCTGGGGATCAGAGTGTTTGCTTCATCATTGACGGCCATGACCACAGCAAGTATCGGTATCCAAGGGACACAATGTTTTCATCGAAGGAATACAGTGGTTTTGTTCGGCCTTGTTTGGATGCAACAGCCTGCATTACCCATGGCCAGGGAATCCTCATGGTGCTGTCCGAACCCTTTGTCCGTAAGGATTCAAGTTGGACCACTGAAGTCATTGCACACTCCCTGAACAAATTGGCAGAGGTGGCAGACCTCCGTCGCATGGAGGTCCTCTGCCAAGCTGACAACACAAGTCGCGAGGTGAAAAATAATACTCTGACACGGTTTTGTGGATTTCTCACAGGAACATCCCGCGTACGGCGGATGGAGCTCCGATTTTTACAATCTGGGCACTCCCACGAGGACGTGGATGCTTGGTTCAGTGTATTGAGCAATGTCATTGAATCGCACAAGCACCTCCAGACACCAGAGGACTTCCAAAGGCTGCTGCAGGATTTTTTGACAGACTTGACGCAACGGCCCCATGAGCTTCACTGGCGAGATGTCATGCTGGTCAATGCAATTCGGGACTGGAGTTTTGACTTGTTATTCGGAGAAATTTGTTATTGCCCTCCCATTGACCTTTTTTGTGTGGGCAGGTGCCCCCATAGATGATACAATAACAAGTTTGAATGAAAACAATGCGGGATAATCAAGAGAATGTTTCCTGCATGGATGTCAAATCCAACAGGCACCAAGAAAATATTCATTGGCATTTTGAAACATGCTTGAGATCATAATGGAATGTACTTGATTTTGTTTGGTTGAGCCATCACCTTGAAGCTTTTGTTGGGCCATCATTGGCGATTGTGGGAGCTTATGTTGGGCCAGCTCAGGGCCAGCTCAGGGTCTTGTAGGGCACAGCTTAGGTTTCGAACGTCGTTTGATCCCATGTTTGAAGGTTTGTGGATCTTCTTTTTAACTTGGTTTAAGCCTTGCCAGCCATCTCGATGCTATGCTGTATCAAATTGTATGGGCATCCAGCTCACGAGTCTACGTATGTTGCAGAAACAGTAGCACTTGCCCTGTATTTTTTGCTGGTCGTTTTTCGTCATTCGTGATTCATCAGATGCTGACAGTGAGAGGCTTCATGACTTAAGGTCATGATGGTTTATAAATGCAACTCCTGTGCTGAGGAAATCGTTTCTGCAGGTGGGTACGCAAGGCGTACACCTGCGGGGAATTGGTGGTCCTGGTGCTCCACATGTCATGGCGTTTGACAGGTTTGAGGACACAGGCTCGGCATGAATTTTCGTGTTGAGTTGCGTGCTATGCTACTTAGGAGTATTGAATTAGGCGTAGCCAGAGGAGTGATCAAATCCAGATCGCAATCTCTTAAATTAAATACATTGAAACTGAGTCTGCACGTGATGTGGTTGGGAGGCTTGGCGCCGGAGTGTGTGGACTCTTCCTTTTGGCGCAGACACGGGATTCGCAGTGTGAGTAATGGCGATGTAGTGCTCAGGACCTTTAATTTTGCTTGCCTACGTACAAAATATGTCTCTCCATGACACGTGTGATTCGGCTTGACATTGAATATGGACATGACGTGACACGACCTGAAGGACAAAACAATGGATGTCTGACCCTGACTTTAGTCGACCTCTCTTGTATCTGCCTCACAGCGTGTGCATGGAGATGCAATTCAAGGGTCCAATTCCACGAGGCGAGACTGCTGCTAAAGATGCAAGTTTCTTCTTTTCAAATTCATAACTTGAGATTTCGTCTTCCCAAGTTTTACTATTGCCCCTGTCAGCTTTGAATGACGACCGGGACCGGGATGAGAAGGCGGCAGAGAATTGGCTCAAATTTGCCAAAATCATTGGTGACTCGTCGTATGACATTATCACATGTGGCTTGAAGTTCATTCCATCAAGTTTCCATTGAATGACACATGCTGATGAAATGGATGACATGTGCGACAACTTAGAATGTGTTTGTTTCCACTGAGATAGTCCACCCTTTTGTCTTCATGAAGCAGCTGCGCACCTCACAAAGCTGGCCCTTGGCCAAGTTCCATCCACAGATTTGCTCGCTGTTGAACAGCTGCTTAGCATGCATTAAATTGTGCAGAAATGTTGAAAAAGTCTTTTCTAATCTAACAGTATGTAGCTTGAAATAGTTTTGTTTGGCGTTGCCACCTTTTGCATCTCAAAACCTGATCCAACGCGCTGCGTGATCCATGGGTGCTCAGGTGTTTGCCCTGCCCAGGGCCTGTGGTTGGTCGTGCGGCTCCAGCACCTGGTGGAGTTAGCGGTATTCATTATGATCCAGTCCTTTGTTTTGAACGAGTTTTTGTTTTGAATGAACTTTCTTGATTGCTGGTCGGGAAAAACTTGCAAACTTTTAGGGGTGCTGTCAATGCAATTGAAGTGATTTTCTTTCTGAGGTTGGGCATGTGATGTCCTTGCAGACCGAACACTTGAAGAAACCACAATTGGAAAAGTATAAAGTGAAAAACAAAGATTTCTATATCTTGCAGGCAGCTGCAAGGCTTTGGGCATCTGCAGGTGTTCCTTTTGAGGAAGCCCGGACAATTGTCGAAGAAGCGTTCCATGGTGCCATTGCTGACTAATTGAGTATATTAGCTCATGTTTTGTTGAGAGTAAGGTGGAGAAAGTTCAAACATTTTTCAAGTAATTTCCCTAGAATCCAAACTTGGAGTTGCAATGGCACTGTGTCCATTGTTCGCGGCTGTGATGATCATGACGCTTCATCACAAAACAGGAGTGTTTTTCATGCACGCAGCTTCTGTTGGTGGCTGGCAGCGGTCATCACAAACGTCTGGTCTGAAGCAACCTGATGTTGTCAACAGCTACGAGCAATTTGATGTACTTGATTTTTGTGCATTTTCTGCAGTGTTTTGAGTTGAGGGCTACCAGCTTTCAACTCAAAATGGTTAGTCCAGCTGTTGCCCCAATTTGTGAAAGGCAGTTCTTGACAACACATCCAGGAATGAATGCTCTAAGTAATCTCTAAGTACTTTTGCAAAATTGAAAATTTAATTAAGAAAAAACATAAACAAAACAAACACTGATGTCTCATCATTGTTTTTTTCAAATTGTGTTGACGGCTGGTGGATCTCAACACAAAATCCATGATATCACGCTCGGAGGTGTTGTGTTCTCGTGCCATTTTTTATCAACGTAATGGTAATTGCAAACAAAAACAAAAACACAAAACTGTTTGATTGACGTTTGGGTTAATGTTCGTGACATAGTTTGTTTTTTTTCTCTAAGTACATTTCAAAAATGTAAAAAAAATTGGGTGCGGCATGGACATTTAGGGGGGGTTGTCTCAAGGTTAAAGAAAATAAAGTTTTTACACCGTGTACATTGGATGTTCAATTTGTGTTGACTGCTGACGTGTTTCAACACAAAATCCATGATGTCACATTCGGAGGTGTTGTGTTCTCGCTCCGTTTTTTTGTAATCAACGTATTTGATTGGAAAAAAAATCAAAAAAACAAAACTGTTTGATTGACGTTTGGGTTAATGTTCATGACATAGTTTGTTTTTTTCTCTAAGTACATTTCAAAAATGCAAAAAAAATTGGGTGCGGCATGGACATTTAGGGGGGGTTGTCTCAAGGTTAAAGAAAATGAAGTTTTCACACCGTGTACATTGGATGTTCAATTTGTGTTGACTGCTGACGTGTTTCAACACAAAATCCATGATGTCACATTCGGAGGTGTTGTGTTCTCGCTCCGTTTTTTTGTAATCAACGTATTTGATTGGAAAAAAAATCAAAACTGTTTGATTGACGTTTGGGTTAATGTTCATGACATAGTTTGTTTTTTTCTCTAAGTACATTTCAAAAATGCAAAAAAAATTGGGTGCGGCATGGACATTTAGGGGGGGTGTCTCAAGGTTAAAGAAAATGAAGTTTTCACACCGTGTACATTGGATGTTCAATTTGTGTTGACGGCTGACGTGTTTCAACACAAAATCCATGATGTCATTTTCGGAGGTGTTGTGTTCTCGCTCCGTTTTTTTGTAATCAACGTATTTGATTGGAAACAAAATCAAAAAAAATCAAAACTGTTTGATTGACGTTTGGGTTAATGTTCGTGACATAGTTTGTTTTTTTTCTCTAAGTACATTTCAAAAATGCAAAAAAAATTGGGTGCGGCATGGACATTTAGGGGGGGGTGTCTCAAGGTTAAAGAAAATGAAGTTTTCACACCGTGTACATTGGATGTTCAATTTGTGTTGACGGCTGACGTGTTTCAACACAAAATCCATGATGTCATTTTCGGAGGTGTTGCGCTCTCGTGCCTTTTTAATCAACATATAGCTGATTGGAAACAAAAATAATAAAACAAAATCTTTTTTTTGCTAAGAATGTTTGATTTGAAGTTTGTGTTTTTTGATGTATGCCTTTTTTTCCCCTTATTCTTTTTATTTTTATTTTTAAATATGTTTTATTAGTTTTTCCAATTTGTGTTGACAACCCATAACCAGGAAGTCCTCTACCAACCAGAGATTGTTCGTCCATGCCAGGTCCTAATTGAAATGCAGCTGCTGTGGTTCTATGGCCGCAGCAAGGACAAATCAGAACAATGGTTGTGAGTTGTGATGCATTCGTACTTGCAGTGTTGCTCACGCAATGAATGTACTGATCTTCAGCTTGTTGTCCAATAATGCAATCGCCATTTGGCTGGCTCATAGCAGCAGCTGTGGACTAGTCTTCAGACTGCTGCTGCCCCTTCGGCATGGCCAAACGGAAGAGCAGCCAAGGGGGCGCTGACAAAGAAGGGAGGGATGGTGGGAAGAAGATCAAAGGTCAACGCACTATCGACGAGTTTGAAAAGCAAGCAGCAAAGCTTTTAGATCATGTGAGGCAGTTTCAGGAGTGGTTGTGCCTAGTCAGAATGATCGAAACATTCATGTGGTAGCTTCTGCTGGTTTAGCTAAGCTTGATTCACTGTGAGTGCTGACGTGCAGTCAGATTGAATCAGGCAGCACACATGCTGGTTCGGCCCAGGTCTGGTGCCCTTGCCAAGCACGACACCATTGAAACTTACTTTGACAATGTTCTTGGCACGAAGGAGATCTGTTTGTCAGCTTTGTCAATGTTTGCTCAATTTTGCTCGTTTCTTTTAAGGTCTTTGCTGAAATTAAACCTGCTGTTCCTTGCAGGAGTCCAGGAAGAAATTTCTGCAGTGGGTTGACATGCATTTTCCAGCCGAGAGCACAGTGTGCCTACCTTAGACCTGCCAGTACTCACGCATTTGCTTGCATGTCTGGACTGCATTCTGATGTACAAGTTTTAGGCAATATGCCTCTCCAACGGTGGTGCAGAACACCACAGTCACATGTCTCCGGCCTTGGCATTTGCCTTGGGACAAAGATTGTGGAGTCAAGGGTCTGATTGAACCCGACCCTCATTTGCTTTATTCTGTGTTTGCACTTTGCCTTTACCCTATCAGATATGTTCATGTTTCTGCTTTTTGAATTTACGTTTTGCACACATTACGTGTTGTATGGCGCTCAGGATGTGCACCAAAATCTGTGCCGGCTTATTTTGGCCAATGGGTCTGGGCACACAGTTGGAGATTCAAAGCAAACGTGGTAGTTGCAAGCTGATTCATACAGACCCTAAGTTCATGTGATCATCCATCCTCTTTGTTTCAAGGTTCTGCACTGACAGCTCCATACCTGGAGTAGAGCGACTTGTGATCAGCAGCCTTCGGAAACAGCATGGTTTGGAGCCCAAGTTCGAGCTCACAACCCAGGATATCTCAGTTGAGGCTGATCAGATGTTGGCCCCACATGGTTGCTTCATCGTGAAGGGATGGAGCAGAGCATTGGCGGCAACGACGATTTTGCTAGCTGCTTATGAAGATGATGCTTTCTTTCAGGCACGTTAATTGACAGACTCAGACTTCAGAAAAGACTTGATTAGTAGACATTTTGCTAAATCAGCATCTAGTATATATATATATACTATATAAATGTATTATTTGCATATACTAGTTCCAGCTTCGACTTTCATTTTGCAATTCATGAAATGACCACTGGCAGGCATGGCCAGTTGACGACCAGAGGTTTCTTGATTCAATGCAGCTGCAAGATCGGTCTTGATGTTAGTGCAAGGCAGGATTTCACAGGTCTTGATGTTAGTACACAGGCAGGATTTCCACAGGTCAGCTTGATCTCTACCTTATAAACTGGGGAGCTGAGGGGTTTCAAGACTATTCATGCCAATGTCTCTTGCATCTCCCACGAAGATAGCCACATGGTGGTACTGGAAAACCGGGGATGCTCGGCGTGAGACATGAGGTCACAACCCAGTGACAATCATAGATAAAGCTTTGTGCCTGCTATGATTTTGGAATTCGGTCAGCCATTGGAACCAGCTCCGCAGAAAGAATGCATGTCAGTCAGCCAGTTTGCTCTTGGAATGATTTTGTCAGTGAAGCACCAGTAGTGATTTAAATTGGCAGTCTTGACTCTGAGGCATCACTTTCCAAGCAGCAGTACGTCGCAAACCGAATGCATTCAACCTTCTACACCAAATGCGATTGCTGGAAGCTTTCAAGCGAAAAACTATTGCAGAACAGGCTAGGGTTGCCCCCATTATGTTGTCAAAGGGTAGTACTTGTTGTGACTTCCAGCAACAAGTTTCACTGTGTTCTGACTTTTGGCCCCATGCATTCCGGGCCAGGTGTGGAATTCTGCAGCCCAAGTGGCTGATGCGTACCAGATAGGACGTCTTGAGAGCAGTGCGGCTCTGAACCTGCATTCGAACGTTGTTCCTGCAATCGTGGACCGTCTCAACTTTCTCGTCAGGCAGAACCAGCTTGTTTTTGTCATGTGGGATACAGTGCGGGATACACTGGCACTGGCCTTCAACTGACTCAATGTGCCTTCTAAATGTTTTTGGCTTCATGATGTAGAGACCAACCAAACTGACTGTTGGTGATATTGTGGAATGACAGGAAGTGGGGCATGGGCAAGATGCTCACGCATGAGAGCATAGCCAGTGGAGCATGGAACGCTGACTTCAGTGCTGCAACCTCCAGCACTGTGGCATGGGAAAGGGTGCTCGCCGCAACACCTCGCTTGCTGAATTTGACGCTGGATAGAATGCATGCCAACTACGAGGCATTGCACCCCAAGATGCGCAAACCATATGGACTCAAGGAAGTTGAGCCTTGACATCATGGTCCAAAGCAGTATTATTGTGTGATTGCGCGTTGTTCCAAACGTCGTGCCAATTCAATGTGCTAGCTGGGGGTGTGGACAAGTTTCTTGGGATTGGCCTTAGGAACAATTGCAGCGTTGCTGCGGAGCCTACTTGGCATGCATGGACAAGTTCGAGGCAGACTATCCAGTGGATTTTGTCCTTGCTGAAGTGCAATCCATCGAGAAATCGTATTTTGGCACATCTAATTCTTGCATCATTGAATGCTTCGAGATTTCACTGGTAGAGTAACTACTTGTGTGGTTTACGAAGTTCTTGAGGTTCCACTTGAAGCATGCCGACTGCGAGTTGATGGACATGCTGGAGAAGATTGCACCACCCCCTGAGCTTGAGAGGGTTGCCATTTTCAAAGCAGCTGTGATGCGATTCCAGGAATCAGTCGGGGACCCAAATTTAATGCGCACACAGAGCCAGATTCAGACTCAAACAATGAGCTAGACATCCTGGGAAAACTTGGATAGCAAATGCATGTAAATGCATTGCTTGACTTGTTGGTTTTATTAAGGAGAAAAAAGTCAAGATGGAGGCTGACGAAAAGTTGCTTGATGTTATGTGAAAGTCAGCCTCGATCGGACTTGATTTGTGATTTGTGAAACCCTGCATGAGTTTGATTCCCTCATGGCCAATTTTGTTCTTAGGCTTCTCATGCAAGTGCTGTCTGCTAGCTTCAAACAAGCCGAGAAGAAGGTGGAGAATGACCTAGTGGCGATGGCTCAGTGGTTGAACAAAGCCCAAGACCATTGCAATCGGCAGGCTCGTTGAATCACCAGTTGCTCTTTAGGTCCTGCAATCCGAGTTTGCTTCTGAACCTTTCTCACAGTACAAAGCTTGGTATGTTAACCAATCATTCTCCAATCATCCTGCGACTGTTTGCAGGGCAACCTTGACATGAAGTATTTGACGGATCGCTTCGAGAAAGGGAAGACTGCAGTTCAGGACTTCTTGAAGGAAAGCCACCGTTTTGTGAAGGTGGATCACATGTCTGATGCCCATGCTGACCTGCTACAATATCAATCACAGATGAATGCAGGCAATGGGAGCCTTGAAGTACAATTATCCATGCGTACCAGTAGAGGGTATGAGCTGTTGGCAATGAACTTTCAAACTCAGAGACTTGCTTCCATGATCAATGCCAAGGATCACCATCATGATCCAAGACCTGACAGTATGGCCATCCCGTGGCTTGGCTGCAATTTTCTTGCCAGACTCAGACTGAACATTATTATTTTGAGCGCGAAGCAGCGAAGCCTTCGTTGCTGCAGGCTCCCTTTTGGTCGATGAGACTTGCGACGTCGCCAAAGCCATTTCAAATTCGAACCCCAATGCTCTTTTGTTCAGTCTTCAAGTGCAAGTTCATTCTGCAATTGACAAAGCCACGGTGTGCAGCTACCGTCGAAGCGTTGAAGACAAATTGATGGGGTGACTCATACTTGCAGTTTATGCATGGTGGAATAGGGTACCTGGCAGTCCAAAGTTTTTGGAGTACACATGGCGCAGTTTTTCGAAAGCCGCCCACACACAGATGGTGCAAATTAAAATTTCTCTGGAATTGCTCAACGATATCTGAGGTCGATGGATCTTCACGAGATCCATTGCCTTTTCAAGGATTCGGCACATGCAGGAGATCGGCGACGCAAGAGCCAGCTTTGCCCTTTGTTTGCAGTAAGAGGTTCAAGTTTAATTTACGGACATTGCCAGTCGCATTGACCAGTTTTGAATGTGATGGTCTTGACAGGCATTGCAGGTGTGAGCCAGATTCACAACAAGCAGTTCGGGTTCAAAAACGGCACTGCGCTGCTGGGAACTTTAGGGCCAGTTGCACGTGCACGAGTGAACCAGCTCTGGACAGACAATCCCGAGTCGGCGCCATCTCCATCAGTTCGTGCAGCTTGTTGCTGATTGAGCATGCTTTGATCAATTCAAAATTTATTATGTCACAGTTGTCCAAACTTCAAACTCAGCTTTCTTCGTGATGCTGAGATTCATCCATTCAGTGTCAGTCAGACCCAGGTAGCTCAACGCGGAGTTCCAGGGACAAAGGAGATGTTGCAGAAATTGCTGGAGGGTCTTGACCCCCCACCCGACACCAAAATCTTCGTTGTGGATTTGACGTTGAACAGGCTGGATTAAACCTTTTTCATCTCGTTAATAGCTGACAAGCTGTGGAGGTAAAGAACATTATCTGTCAAACTGATTCGAGCGTGATTGTATACCACGTCGCAGGTGGAATGAGTGGGGCCGATGCCTCTGGGAGCTGCAGAGAGATCGCTTGAAGTCTGAAGGCCAAGGCCTTGACTGGAAATTTGTCAGCTATGTAATGAAGGGTGACGATGAAGCCACGTCTGGAATCGATCAAGCCATCAGCTGGATTGAGGGTCGTTCCTTCTCTGAGACTTGCACTTGAGTTCTGGTATGTTCTGGCCTTCACTGTAATTGTGCTTCACCCTGGGACTATGTCATTATCAAAGCAAACTGTTGAACAATCAGTGTGAAAGTTTGTGTCGAGGAATGGTGGGATGATTGCCCAGAAGCAGGCCCCAAGACACGTTCCAAGTCTGACTTCTGCGAGCAGAAGCCAACGTTGGACATTCTTGTGGTCAGTGGGGGAAAGCTTAAGAAACTTAACGAAAATGACTTTGAATTCTCAATGCATTGTTTTCAGCGTGTGACTTTGTGGGCTTAAAGTTTCTTGTTGCTGAGTCAAGTCGTCATCAGGATTCCAACTGCTGTCCTGGACTCACTCCAAGGGCAGGGCGAGTCACTCCAGATGGAAGTGGAGCAGTGGAATTCAAATCATGACTTGAAACTGCTTGCCACCATCACTTCCCAAAACACCAGAGCGAAGGAAGACGATCGCACGTTGTGCGCGCCAGTTTTTGCTGAAGGCGACAATCACTTGAACTTCAAGCGGCTCGTCAGCTTGGAGTCTTTGACGGTGATGACCCAAGGAGAGTTCGAAGCGCATGTTGTGCGCTTGGGCTGCATTCGAGCCAGCCAAACAGATTCGTCATGTTAGCTGGTGAGCTTCAATTGACAACGCATAGTTTGGATTGAACTTTGCCAGTTTGAACTGACTGATGAGGCCCCGAGCAAAATGCAAGGCAATGGGCTGTGCTGACTTGTTTGTGGTGGCCGGTGACAACTTCCAACTGTGGCTCCTCAACCCTGCCGCCAATGAAGTGACTTGCGATGCCTTTGAGATTTTCGGCTTCAATGTTGCAAGCTACACTGAAAAGGCTGCAGGCAAGTTGGGCAATCAATGTTTGATGTGCAGTCATGTCTAAAGCCTAGAGTCCTAGAGAATTTGCACATGGCTTTTGATCTGGACTTTTTGCGCCAGAAATTGTTTGAGAGGTTACAATTATATTGCTTCTGTCAGGCATTGCTCGGGCGGAGTCGAAGGAAGCTATCCCTTTCCTCTTGGAGCGTGACACTGATCTCCTTTGCTTGCCCGGACCCACAGGCAAATCATTGTTTTGCACTGCGGAGCTGGCTTGCTTTCTTGCCCAGAAGCAGGGAATCACAGAACTGAGCATCGCAGACCACGCCTTGACACCGTTGGTAGAGGAGTTTCTGCTGGCAGTCGTTTGTTGCGTGCGGTTTTCTTTGCACAACAGTTTGGATGAAGACAGCTGTGATTCCTACTGGGAGTAGTAGTTGGCCGGTAGGTTAAATGCCAATAATAGTGAGTGTGAAGCCTTAGGTATGCCATCACATGCATGTTGCAGGACGGAACTGGAGCTCCACGTCCATTCCGGTATAAGGTGACCTGTCAAGGTAAAGTCACTTGCTTCGAGCCAAAGCCCCTAGCGCCAAGTGCAGACCTGATGGATCTCAGAGGATCAATGTTTGGGGCGTACTATTTGCGCAATTTCGACAAGTTGCCGGCTTCGTCTATGTGCAGAACTTTGTGGGAGGTGCCGTTTTCTGGGTTGCAATGTGTGCATAGTGTTTGGTTGCCTGCTGTCCAAGGTTGATTCAACATTTTTGCACTCATTGCAATTTCTCACACAGGGTTTTGCATTCATTGTTCCAGGTCAGCATGGACCATTGCACAGTCCGCCCATTGAAGCCAAAATTTTGGCTCACCTGCTCAGTGAAGATTCCACCGCAAACGGCTCTCAAGCTCGGCTAGGAGGCAGCTGCACGCAAGCAGCTTTCGACATCTTTGATGTTTTTGGAACCCATCACCAGGCTTGATTTTCCACCTGGATTTTGATCAGACTTTCAATGGGTCACAGAGAAAAAGATCGTGCGTCCATTTGCTGATTCAAGATGATTACACCAGGAATGAAAGCCAATCAGCTCTAACTAGTTGATTGCGGTCCTGTCAATGATGACATGAACTTAGAGACTTTGACAGTGGTGCTGCATTTTCTACAGGTGTCTTGATCCTAGCACTTTTTTTGCTCTTGATTTTCACGCGCTCCCTCATCGCAGAAGATGATGGCCAAACTTGGAGCAATGACTGAGCTCTCAGACTTGGAGGATGATGGACCGTCCCCTCAGGTTGCCGATGCCACGCCCAAAGCCAAATCTGCTAGCAGATCTTCCGACGACAAGTGTGCTGATGCCAAGGCAAAAGCCAAGTCGAAAGACAAGGCAAAGGGCAGTGGCACAAAGAGCACGAAGAAAAGTAGAGATATGAAATCGACCAAGCCGAAAAAAAAGCCTTCCGGAGGCGGTTCCGCTCCTGGTCCTGTCCCTTGTGCTGATGAAAGTGCTTCCGATCCAGCTACTGAGCCAGAGTCAGAGGAAGTTAGCAAGAAACCGGCTATGAAAGCCAAAGTCAAGAGCAACAAAGTAGTTCAGAAGCGTTCAGTGCCAGCTGGAACCTCTGCACATGCAGAGTCAGGCTCCTCAGAGGACAAGCCCCTTCTGAAGCGCCCAGCAGCTGCGCCGAAGACAGTAGCAAAGGCAAAAGCCAAGAAGACAGTAGCAAAGGCAAAAACCGAGAAGACGAAGCAGGCCAGGAAGTATTGGTACTACGCTGACAAAAAGATTGGCATCAAGTATGATGGTCATGAGCGAATGACGGTGGTGGTCTCAGACCAGTTTCGATGGTACAGCATGTTTGCGCTGCGCCAGTGTTTTTGAGTACTCTGCAACAAATTGAAATCGTTGCCAACGATTAGGTGAAGTCGCGTAAAGGTGTTTCTGAAGAGAAGCAGGAGGAGATCGCCGAAACTGGGGCTGCAGTTTTTGTTTGGCGCATCAAACGCAGTTACTATGCTGCCAAACGCTGCCAGTAACTACAACCAATTCAGGAGTCGCTGTCCAGCCCAGGAACTGTGCCGCTTGGAGTTTGAGAAAGGTGCAGCAACAGACTATATCAAGCAGATGGCAGCTGCCAGGATGAAATTAATTAGATTATGACAGTGCATCATGGTTTTTGGAACTGTGTTTTAGTAGCAAACAACAATCCCACAGCCTCAGGCAGAATTGATGGAAGCTGCTGCAAGGGCAAGTCTGGCGAGTGCAGAGGCCTCCGCTGTTGTGCCAGAAGCAGAAGTCAAGGATGTCAAGGATGATGGCGAGATGAAAGATGCTGACTCAGCGGATGCTGCAGCTGGGTTGGAGCTTGGTTTTGAAGAGGGAGAAGAGCAGGGTGAAGAGGAGGATGCAGAGGATGATGGTCCAGTCCCAGCTGATGTTGACTGACCAACTTAGACTGACTTACGGAGACATTTTTGAATAGAAAGAGACCTGCTGCAGCTGCAGCCCACATGGAGTTTAACCCGCCCAGTGTAACGCTGACTCAGTCCAGTAGCAACCAGACCAATGGCCTGTTGCAATGACAGATTTCATGGCGCGTGGAGCGAAAACACGAAAAAACAATTGCTGCAAGCTCCTTTTTGTTTGCCATGTCCAAACATGTCAGGGCTGTCTTTTTTTCTGCGAAAAGAGCAGGGCAGTTGCTTTTGCAGAGACCGAGTTCGAATAGTCAGTGACTTTGTAATTTTTCTCAGTCTTGACTTTAAACGGTGGTCAGGTTCAAAGACAGCAGAGTTTGGAGCTTCTCACAATCATAATTTTAGGCTGAGACCAGATCATGGCGGCCCCGACTGCTGTGACTTCCAGTGCTGCTGTGGATGTTGTTCTCCATCAGCAGGTGCACATCTACATCATGCCTGGTGCTGAGACCGATTGGACGCCTTCACTGAAGAGCCGCAGTTGTGCTTTGATGGCATTCTTGTCATCGTGGATGATGTGGCTTGACCACCTTCCAGCCAATTACCGTTCAGATGATTTGCCGCTATTGTTCTCTTTCGTGCTGTCGTTGAACTTCAAGCTCAGTGTGACTTTTGGAAGAATCGAGCTGCGCCAGCGACTTGACCTTCTGAGGGAGCCACTGTCTCCTGATGTTTTTGTCAAGTATGATGTCTTTTTGGGCAGTCTGTCTTCAGAACTCGACAGAGCTGGACCTCGTATTCTCCAATACTGGTTAAGTTTGAATGTTGCAGACGGGATCGTTTTTGACCAATTGGTGCATGCCATTTTGCATTTTGGCCTTTGCTGTGCCGATTTTAATGGGCTTGACGAAAAGGCTTTCAAACTGATGTTTGATTTTGCTGGTACCTTGGCAACTGCAGTGAACGGACCGCAAACCATGGAGTCGGAGGCGGAGAATCCGCCTTCAGATTCAGCAGAGCCTTTGGCATTGGACCAGCAATGATTTTGAACTCTCTCTCTCTAGGATTGCGTGGTGAAAAAAAAATTACTTTTTGGGCAGTACAATGTGACCACCTTTCAAGGAGCTAGCATGGATTTGTTGTCTGACTGGACTGAATCAAATGCAGGACGGAATTTTTCAGGGCCTGGCTGCTGCTCACATTCATTCCAGGTGCTAGCTGAAGGCACGCGGGCTTAGAGGGTCACTTTGGGGTAGGCTTTGGGCCGATAATAGGTCAGTTTTCTTGCCAATTTTTCAGTATAGGTCTGATCAATAGCTGAGTTAGATTGCGTTTGAGCTCTTTGGGCTCCACCTGGAACAGTCTATAATTTTTGTTTTCGTGCACCTTGTCTTGTGGCGAGTTGTTTCTGCGTTGGTTGTTGCAGAGTTGAAATGAGGGTTGAACACTGAACCACGATCAATTGTTCTCATGAATCATGAAGCAGAACTGTTTGCTTTCACATTTAATATCACTCTCAATGGCCAGGCAGCAGGGCTTCAAATTGTGAGTCGTCGTGCATCGGCTGTCGTGCTGTCTGGTAAAGGTTTTTTAAAGTTTTTTTTGCAGTCTGTGAAAGACAGTCAGATGGTTATCATCCTGCCTTGAATCGTGTTTTTGATAGCAATAAGTCTCAGGTCAACGTTGACTTGGGCAGTTGAAACCGACCGATATTCTTTCAGTTTTCGGTACTTGGCAACTACTAAAAACCAACAGTTCTTGTATGATTCCTGGGGTGAATGATGGTGATTAAAGGTGTTTATATAGTAGCCCCCCACACTACCAAAAGATTTTTTTTTTGGGGGTTGGTTGGCTAATTTTCTACCTTTTTAAAACACACCGTGACCCCAGAGATTTTAGTTGCTGGAGTGTCATCACCCTTGGCGTCAGTCCCTATAGCTTGAGAGCAGTTGGGCACAAAGCTGCTGCGCACGGAAAAACTCCCAGTCTTGCTGGGATTCTCGTTAAAAAAACGGGAAAAGCATGACTTAGCACGGATCGTCAGGCTGGGCCATTGGATATCAGTGGTGTTCTTGTTTGGTTAGTTAGTCATGGTTTGTTAGTTGTTGTTTCATGATGTCATAAGGGTATCAGATTTGATCAAATTTGTTTTAAAGTTTCTACTTCCAGTGGTTCAAGATCAATTAGTAGTCAATTAATTCAGAATCACTGTCAGAGCGTGACTTGGATTGCAAAAGGAACCTGCCGAGATTGACCATCATGTGCCAACCAAGATGATGCAATGTTAACCTGCATACTAACTTTGTTCTCAGAGATGGGTTCCGACCCTGGCTACCAACTTGTGGAGTTTTATTTTGAGAGATCCAAAGAAATTTCTAACTCATTTTATGATGATTTTGTGACGTTTCCAAGTTTCAATGGTTTACTTCGAATGTAAATGGCCTGTTAATTTTAGGTGTTAGTAAGCCACTTAAGACGAGCGAAATAGTAGCCGAATCTTAGTTTTAAATTTATCCTTCCAGACCCCTTTAAACTTTGCTATCAAAAATAACGCTCAGCCGCAAGAATTTCATTGTTATGATATAGCTTTAGCGTGCTCTGTTATGCCAGAGATCTCCAGAGATAGAGTGTGTCATGCTCAATGTAGAACTTAACTTAGCCCATTGAGATCAGAGAGTGATGCCGAAGACCAAGACTTCTCGGTTATGAGTCCTTGTTGACCATCTGGCGCTGTTGTTATGAGTCCTTGTTGACCATCTGGCGCTGTTGACCACATGCCTTTGGCAGCATCATGGACCACCATGGACCAACCCAACCCCGTTTACAAAACCCAACCCCGGTTAGAAAGAAAAAATCTTAAAGGCTGAATTCTGGCCTGCTTGTGACCCTAGGAAAAACAAAAGAGCAGTACACATTAGTCACATCTTTCATTTCAACCATGATGTCCTTAACTACACAAGTATCGTGTGCTCTGTTACATGTAGCTACCGCTCCATGCGATCCTATCGGCTCAAAGTACGGCAGTAGACAGACCTGCTGCCTCAGCTTATTTCCAGAAAAGGGAAATATATAGTGCCTCCTTACCTCGGTGAGGGATCGATATAACAAACCTTTCCGGTGATTGGGCAAAGGGTATTACTACAGGCTTGTTTTGTCATACAACAGATCACACCTTGCTCTTTCGTGCATTGGGACCTTATTCCACGACAGTGCCCCTCATTGCGTTATCTCCTTTCGCCTGACTCCTTTCTCTCCTTTCCATTTGGTTTCTGGTTTTTCTGGCCAAAGACGTGCCAGGGCTACCAGCGCCTCTCTCCACCACCCCTCTCTTTCTTTTGCTCTCTCCTCTCCTCTTTTGTTCTTTGGCTCGTCCTTGCGGTCTGCTCCCTCCCTTTCCCTCTCTTTCTCCTTTTCACTCTCGTGCCTGGATTCTCTGACTAAAGACTGTCAGGGCTTCCAGCCTCTCTTATCCGTTCCGTCCCCCCTGATTTCACTTTGCTCCCTCACTGCCTTGTGCGCCGCCTCGGTTGTGCTGTCGTACCTTAATTTCTTGAGTGTTGGGTGATTTTCGATTCCACTTGTCTCCTGTTAAGGTGCTTGAACTGCCTGGCCAAAGACGTGTCAGGTTTTTCAACACTTGCCCCCTCCCCCCCCTTGTTTCTTTGGTTTGTGTTGCTTTTGGCCTTTTCTGGTTGTTGTCTGTTTTGTTGGTCTTGCTTTGGTTTTCCCCTTTTTTGGTTGATTTCGACTTTCGAGACTGACTGGAGTGCTTGAGTCTTCTGACCAAAGACGTGTCAGGATTCTCAACACCTCCCACCCTCCCCCTTAATAACTTTTACACCCAAGTCTGCTACACAGGAACTGCACAGTGTGATGTCTCTGCTTTCCAGGGAACAAGTTGTGAAGTCCTGGTACGCGAAGAACCCTAACATCAGCTTCTTTGACTTGCTCTACGCACTTGAACAGCACAAGAGCATTTCGACTGAGTACGGGCTGAATGTATCAATTGAACAGCACTGGCGATTTGGTGACCCCCATAAGAAGACAGCTGCACCTGATCGCCATGACTACGAAATTGCAATGGTCAACGGGAGCGAAACCTTACCTGGACCTGACTGGCACAAGTTGTACCGATGGTTGGTTAGTCAAAGCTCTGCTTTCTTGCCTTACCATACGGTATATTTGGTGACGGACAATCGTGATTTGCAATCGGACGAGGTCAAGTCTGTGCCTGGACTCAGCCATTGGCCAATGACTCAGCCATTGGCCAATGGTCGCTGCTTGGTGGAAAGAACGGTTACGCTATGTCGGTCCATATGGAGAACTCACCACAGTTGTCTTTGTCCACATTTCAGCTGACACTGGTCTTCATAAAGTACACCCGACATGGGCAGGGACGTACATCCTTGATGCTTGTGTGTTCCTCTTTCCGACCATCAATTTTGCACTGATCGACAGCGATTGTGTGCCAGTGACCCTCTTTGAGATACGAGAACTTTGGCTAGCGAGCACTGACCCAACCCGCCCAGCTACATCAAGCAAAGCTGCAAAGAGCAAACTGTCAAGCCCCATTGCGTCATCGCACAAACGTGCGCGCTCTGTGGACACGGGAAGGGACATGCAGCAGCCTGGTCCACCATCGAAGCTATCCAGATCGCATAGTGCGGACCATATTGCTGTCCGAACAGCTGATCCACTACGAGCCCCTCCGATCACCTACGGTGCCAATTTGGCAGACGAAGTTGACTATGGTGATTCGCTAGACCCGAGTCCCCGCATGTCTCGTCGGGCGACGTCCAGCAGCGATGACTCCTCCCCGGCTGGGTCAACCAAACCTACCCGGAAGGACAAAGCAGCCGTGGATGAAACTGCCACTGCGCGTAGGCCCAAAGGAGTCATCCTTGTGAGTGAGGCATTCACTGAAATCAACGCGGGTCTGGTCATTGTATTAGCTTCGGGTCATGAGAGTCCTGTACCTGTCACTGCCTTGGAGGACTCGGATACGGATCCTGATGAAATAGCCCACGTTATTACCAGTGCTTACCATAGACATGTCGAAGCCTACCTTGCTACTACATATCCACCTGCAGACGTTGAGCAAGCAGTCGCTAGTGGATTACTTGGCTCTCCTCTGCTTGGCACGTCCACCCGTGTTACTGCAGATTGGTGCCATGCGTGGAGTTTGTTAGGCCAGTGGTCTGGATTAGTCACTTTTCCGGTTCCAGCCTCTGGAGTCTGGCCGCGCCATGGTCATTTACGGAGGATCCTTGATGGCTACCAAGGCAGACAACCGAACTTCCATAAATGGGCTCGGCCTGCCTACGAGCAAGGTGCCCTTCCGACCCTTAGCCTGCTGCCAGGTGAGGTCAGTGTACGAGTGCTACCAGGAGACAAGATGTACCAAGCCATGGCAATCGAGCCACATTACATGCGGCCTGTTATTCTGCATGGGTTTGGCACCAATGCCAAGAAAAGAATGCCTAGCAGTCTCGCTGACCTCGCCCAATTCGGCTGGTTGCCGCTGGCTGCGGCTTTATTTGGTACACAAGAATGGAAGCCCCAATGGCTGCATCACAATTTCCTTCCAGTGGTTGGTCTTCGACTGCATGCCAAAGTGCCTCCTCCTCCTCTCTCCCAAGCTCAACTAATCTTGCTGTGTGGACTGTGGCAACGGAAGGAACAATCGGAACCCTCATGTACATCGCTGCAGCAAGCAGCTCTCCTAAAGTTTGGTCTTCCGTTACCTTTCAGAGAGATGGCTAAATGGGAAGTCACTGTCAATGAGCAGGCCATAGATGTTGGAGAAGTATCCAAACAAAACTACATTGGAAGACAACCTGAAGCTGCGCTGCCCGTAGCGCTCAAAGGCTCTGCCGAGTGGGCCTCCTGGGTCCTTTCCCTCTCAGAAGTCTGGCAAGATGACGCCCCAATGCAAGACCGACCCCTTGAAGTGCATTGCAGTGGATTAGGGGGTGGCCTACTTAATGGCGAACACGACTATGATATTTTCCTGCAAAATCTTGCGCAAACAAAGGTGTATGGCCCAT